GACAACCCTGGCAAGGGCCGACCTGGAGATGCAGATCAAGGGTCTGGAAGAAGAGCTGGCATTTATGAAGAAGAACCACCAGGAGGTTTGCAGTAGTTTTCTGATAGATCGTCTATGTATAACTGATCTTAAATGCTTGGACTATTATTTTATAATATATTATACTGTGGTATTACAGGAGCTGGCTGCACTGAGGTCACAGCTGACAGGCACAGTGAATGTAGAGGTTGATGCTGCTCCTCAGCAAGACCTGAACAAGGTTCTGGAGGAGGTCCGTGCTCATTATGAGAACATCATTCAGAAACACCGCAGGGAACAGGAAGACTGGTTTAAAGACAAGGTAAGACATCCTCTGTCTCCTTGAATCAGTGAATTCTACTTTGTTATCAAACATACTGCAAGACTCCTGACTTCACTGAATAATCACTTGAAGTAGTGCCTGGATTGTGATCTAGTGTTTTTATCTTTTGTTTAGATGGCAGGGTTGAACAAAGAGGTGGCCCACAGCACAGAGATCATACAAACGTCCAGGTCACAGGTCACAGAGCTACGAAACACCTTACAGAGTCTGGAGATCGAGCTACAGTCTCAACTCAGCATGGTGAGACACAAGTGGAATGTAGAGTGAGAGAGATTAGATACATTATCTGAAACAAAGGAAGGAAAATATAACATAAGACTTGAAGAAAGCAGAGCAACGATGCTTTATTCTCGTGTTATTCTCATGTTCTCAAACAGAAAGCAGCACTGGAGAACTCACTGTTGGAAACAGAGGCTAGGTACAGCTCTATGCTAGCAGGCTACCAGAACCAAATCAACATGCTGGAAGCTGAGTTGGCTCAGTTGAGAGCTAGCATTGAGCAACAGGGACGAGATTACGCCTTGTTGCTGGACATCAAGGCTCGTCTGGAGCAGGAGATTGCCACCTACAGGAACCTCCTGGAAAATCAAGACATTAAGTAAGTTTATTCCTTTATAAACGTTAATGTGAGTTAAAATCAGTGGAGCATGGATTATGTTATATTATCTTGCCCAGGAATAGCTTCACTAATTAATTTTTTTCTTTCTCCTACTCTTCCAGGACTCAAATTCCAGGTAACTGAAATCTCTCTTTGTATATTGTGGTAGAATTGTCAGTTTCAGGCAGTGGATGTTGTACATTACACATTACTGTTTCTCTCTTGTCCTTCAGGTGGATTTATCACTATCTCAGGTGGATCTCAATCCTCCGGTGGGTCCCACATTATCACATCTGGTGGATCTCAATCCTCTGGTGGTTCCCACATTATCAAAACTGGTGGACCAACAATCCAAATAAAGCAAACCACCTCCACTTCACACCGTACTTACTAAAGGCACAGCATGTCGTTTTGTGAGACAGTATTCAAACACATGCAAACATTTCATATTAAATGAGTGTTAATACACAATTTGTGACAAGGAACAAGGACATGTGTTTTTTAAAACATCAAAAGACACTCACTGTTGTGTTTTTGTATGTGAGAAAAACCTGTCTCTGAAAATAAAAGTGCTGTCAAGAAAAATTTCCTACATGTGTTTTTTTTTTCACATAACACTATGGTCTAAAATTTTTAATGCCACAAAACACATGGCAGTCACATTTTTGAGACCAGAAAATGTCATACAGATCACATAGATCACTACACTCAGAAATTAACTTTATAAGGAGCAGTATTTATTATCTATTTATTTTCAGAGATGTATTTATTTTTCAGCATAAGTAAATAATTTAAATACTTTATTTTTAATTTTTATGCTCAACAATTTCAGTTTTTGACCTGCCTGCTTGTCTCGTGCGCCGCCTATTGGCCAGGAAATGCTATTATATATCTTGGACAGACTTCTCGACATTTCACATCTTTTCCAGATGGATGCGTTATTACTAGAAGTGCTATTTTGCCATGTTAAAATCCAGATTCTAAGACGTGGATCATGAGTTTGATTATAAAATGTTTTCACTTCAGAGTTTGTCTATTATAAACAGTTTCCCCCGAGAAAAAAAAAAGTCTGAGTCTCGCTCAGGCTGCACTGCAGTGTCTATTCACAGGTGCGACCCCACTACTGATCGACACGGGGGCTTTGACCTCCTCCGTCTCCGACCTGGTTCGGTTCATCCCTCCTTAGACGACCTGGTGGTCCCGAGCTCCCCCAGGAGCACCATATCGACACCGAACTTAGTGCGGACACCCGATCGACATAGTCCACTGCAGCCCAGAGTCCCTGAACTCAAGCGATCCGCCAGCCTCAGCCTCCCAGCAGCTTGGATTACAGGCGCACGCCACTGCACCCGACGAGAGCTGCGAGCATCTGCGCTGCTCCTCAATCTAGTGCTCACTGCGACCTCTAGTGCAGCACAGCAGAACACTAGACTGTATACTACTCGGCTGTTGAGCAGAGTAAACTAGTTTTAAATGTTTGCCGCATTTTCACAAGTGTTACCTTTACAAAGCACTCATCTGTATCCTTTTCAAATTTGAGCATATTATTAACTAAAAATCACAAAGTAGGCTACTTTTCTCACCACACCTAATAGCTGCTTCATCCAGACACCTTTCATTTGGAGCTGTTCTCATTTATTTTAATACATTTGGCTATTATTTAGTTCAATTTATCTTAATGGTTAATGAATGAACCTTTACTTTTTATTTAATCTTTATTTTTAATATTTATATCTATTTTCTATAGCCTACCTTTGTATTTTCTACAGGCTTGATTATTAAATTGTTTGTATTATATGTGTTTGTGAAGTATCTAAATTACATGTGTAAAACAGGATAGCCAAACAAAATAATTTACTGTAACGAAATATAATCACTTTGCCATTACATACAAAACTGAACTATTTTGGAACAGTATTAGGCCTATAAGTTGTTTTGGGAGAAGGGGAAATAAAGACGGGCTCTATAGAGATACCTCTATATATATATATATATATATATATATATATATATATGTTGTACCCTCATTGGGGGCTGAGCCCCCCTAAAATTAAAATCCTAGAATCGACCCTAGTCCACATGCAGGTACAAACGCAAAAGTCTGAGTTTCGCTGTATCGCTCAGGCTGCACTGCAGTGTCTATTCACAGGCACGACCCCACTACTGATCGACACAGGGACTTTGACCTGCTCCATCTCCGACCTAGGCCGGTTCACCCCTCCTTAGACGACCTGGTGGTCCCGAGCTCCCCCAGGAGCACCATATCGATACCGAACTTAATGCGGACACCCGATCAACATAGTCCACGGCAGCCCCGAAGCCCTGAACTCAAGCGATCCGCCAGCCTCAGCCTCCCAGCAGCTTGGATTACAGGCGCACGCCACTGCACCCGACGAGAGCTGCGAGCATCAGCGCTGCTCCTCAATCTAGTGCTCACTGCGACCTCTAGTGCAGCACAGCAGAACACTAGACTGTATACTACTCGGCTGTTGAGCAGAGTAAACTAGTTTTAAATGTTTGCCGCATTTTCACAAGTGTTACCTTTACAAAGCACTCATCTGTATCCTTTTCAAATTTGAGCATATTATTAACTAAAAATCACAAAGTAGGCTACTTTTCTCACCACACCTAATAGCTGCTTCATCCAGACACCTTTCATTTGGAGCTGTTCTCATTTATTTTAATACATTTGGCTATTATTTAGTTCAATTTATCTGAATGGTTAATGAATGAATCTTTACTTTTTATTTAATCTTTATTTTTAATCTTTATATCTATTTTCTATAGCCTACCTTTGTATTTTCTACAGGCTTGATTATTAAACTGTTTGTATTATATGTGTGTTTGTGAAGTATCTAAATTACATGTGTAAAACAGGATAGCCAAACATAATAATTTACTGTATACAATAATAGAATTATCTCACAATTCATCAATGAAAGCCACAGTTATGTTATTTACCATAGGCTATAAGAAAGTGTGTGAAATATCTCGAAGGCCACTTATGAGATGAAGCCCCCCAAAATTAATTTTTGAGAGTAATAGAGAGTGTCTCAAGTTAATTCTGTGTCTACATCACATCATGGGTCAATACAAGTAAACACTGAATCACTTAACTTAGGCTCACAAGGGCTGTATTTTGTTCTTTTTGTTGTTGCTGTTTCTTTATTATGGTAATACAAGTCCTCAGAGAATAATACACAGTGTCTGAGTCCCGCTACGCTGCTCAGGCTGAACTTCAGTTTGGCATTAAGATGGAAGCGTGTGTGTGTGTGTGTGTGTGTGTGTGTGTGTGTGTGTGGTTTTGAGTGTTTTTTTTTTTTAATCATTTGAAACATGCTAAAGGCATTGTATATATATATCTCCCGTCACTCCACAGGTCCAGAACTGCCTTGTTTTACAAGCACGTCATTTCATCCAGCTCTGACTAGACACACACACACACACACACACACACACATATCAAATACACCTATGCATAAAGACAACATGCATTAAAATATGCAAAAAGTCAAAATACAGCTTATTTTCAAACACTTAACGTAGTATTAGAAATGAACCTATCTTAAGGCCATTATGCATCATAAACAAGTCTTTTTGCATGTCCTCACGTTGTTATTATTTATCAAATAACTATATATATATATATTGCAGACACCAGAATGCATGTTGGCACGATCTGGAGCGGGAAAAAAAAGTTTAACACTCTTGTCTATAAAAATACCTGATAGGCTAGCCTATGTCATAGCGTACATTTGATAGAGATGAGCCTATGGGCTACTGAACCACGCACCATAATTTTTTGTAATATATGTGTTTTAATATATTTATTATAGCCTAATATAAATGATATAAAAATAATGATTAAAGTTATTAGTATTACATTGGTTTAAATAATAATGCTTTACCAATTAATATAAAATAAAATTATTCACTCAGCAACACCAGCTATATTGATCATAAACACCACGGAACGGTCATTTTTGGGCATTTTTTTAAACATTTTAAAACAGGCGCAGAAAGTTTGACTACGGTGTGCGGAGCTGAAAAGATGAATTTCAATCGGGAGGAATACTATCGGTCGGTTTTTAAAGATCAGCTCTCATCGTAAGTAACTTCTTACACCTCAAACCGTTTTTGCTGGAAGCATTAATGTGCCGTCGTTGAAGTAGAATAGGCTATAGTCTAAGCTTTGTTTGGTCGGATGGAGATGGTTCAGAGTGATCTGCATTTACGCAGAGATTGTTGAATCGTTCAGGTGTATTAAGGATTTGGAGAAGGATTCGCCGAATATGAGGACAAGCGCAATGCGACTTGCGGAGGCGCGCGAGGAGAACGAAGGAGTGACCAGAGCACTGGAGGCTCAGGAAAAGGTGGTTGTATGAAAAACATTAACTGCTAACTACATTTCAGCTGTTCCAGATTAAATGAGTGTAGTGTTTTACATGTGCTGTTGTCAGGAGTTGCAGATGAGGCGGGAGCGCTTGAGAGAAAGAGAGGAAAAGGTGAAAAAGGAAGAGGAGAAACTCAGACAGTACAAGCTGGAAACTGCTAAGCAGCTGCAAGTAAGGCAAACATTCTGAAAAATCTCCATGAATATGAATGTATAGCCTAATGTGTAAACTGACTATAATATCATCTGTAACCCCCCCCCCCCTTTTTTTGTCTTTCTCTCCTTTAAGGAAAAT